GGTGAAGAATGAATTTTAAAAAAATAAGACAAAAAGCAAGCATATCATAAAAACCAAACTATACACATCAGCCCAAGAAATATATATATAATTGTATTTTAATGTAATATAATATATATATTTCAAATATTGGGTCCGAATGGTATGGTCGTTTTATGCAAAAGTTGCAAGTGAGTTTTATTTATCTTTTTACAGCATTTTCGTTATAAATTATATTATGGTATATTGTAATAATTCTGAAATTTACAATCGAATGATCACACCGTAATAGAAATTGTTGGCTTCCGTATAATCCAGCTTTGAGTCTTTGATTGGTGAACTATGTTCTTGCGTCATCCTACTTGCGCATACTTTCTACAAATACTACGACTACAAGGTCATAACTACGGACCCAATATTTGAAATATATTTATTATTATATTAAAATTCAATTATATATATATATTATATATATTTTTGGGCTGATGTGTATAGTTTGTTTGGTTTTTATGATATGCTTACTTTTTGTCTTAGTTTTTTTTTATTCATTCTTCACCTATTACATCATCTTTTCTCTCTAGCTATATATAAATATATATATATATATATATATATATATATATATATATATATACCCTATATTTTTGAGAATCTATTTAGTTTTATTATGAAACACGAAAGGATACAGTACCCGGCTATACTATATTTATTTGCTATGTATAAACATCATTATCAAGGCCTATATAAGCATATTTTGTTTTGATATTGTAGTAGGAATGTTTTAATACTGGAAAAAAATTTTAGTAAAAATACCTTAAATAAGCAAGGACATCGTTTTAGTTAGTGACAAAACAATTTTTTTGCTATTATACAAAATTGTAATAAATACTATAAATAAACTAACATTTACATCGTTGCATAAGCATATCTTGTATCGATTAAAAACTGTGGAGGCGTGTTTTTATAATGATTTTCAATTTTACGCATTGTTACCGTTTAATATTAATTTGCAAATTTTTATGAAATAAACCACGTTGAAACGATCGAAACTTTTTAGCGTAAATCTTTTAACTTCAGTGGCGTAACAAATGCGAAAAAATATAATAAGTAAATGAATGGAAATAGATAGATATGGAAGTTACTATAGACGTTAACAACCAAGTTATGATGTAGCCATAGCCATTGATATTATGCTCCGTTCTAGTTTTCCAACTTGCGTAGTGGGTGTACAGTAATACCTTTCTTTCTTTACAAATATTAATAACAACATTGAAATGTGATCTGTGAATTTTCAGCTTTTTTTCAATTGAGCCTTATAAATTCCAGTTGAATTTAAGTTATCAATATCATTCCATTATTATTATTCAGGAATTCAGGTTAAAAAGGTATGTTTGGCTGTTTTAACGTAAATCTGATTTGTGATATGACATTAATAACGATTTTCCATCATACTTAATGCTACTGAGAAAATGATGCCAAGAAACTATTGATTTAGGAACATGAACAAAAAATAAATATGCTATCAAGAAGAGTGCAAACAAAATAAAAACAACGAAACTGTAATCAAACATGTAGAATTAAAATTTATAGATCATAAGTTGGCCTCGGGGATTTATTGGGTTCTGGAAAATCATTTTATATATTTTAATAAGGCTATATTTCTTTTCCAGTTGTAATGTAATATTGTATATTCAGTAAATTCAAATCAAATCAATACTCAATAATAGGTCTACAACGAAAGAAATCCCCCTCGATTGACTAGTTAAACGTTTGTGTCCGATATTGCTAATCCATTAAATCTCTAGTTTCAATAGCCCTATCTAGTGCCTTTAAAAAAAATTAAAATTAAGGCTATATTTAGGAGTCGGGTTGGTGAAATCTTTTCAGATTACGGCCCCCATACAGCTCGTATTCTGGACAGAGAGAGCCCGTATTCTGGACAGATTTCGCCACACCTACTGATAGTTAGTGGGAAATGCATGTCTTATATTTGTAGATTTGTTTATCTATACACTTTGCAACCGTTGATAGTGAATAATCTAGAACAAATAATTGTATGTGATTGAGAATCCAGGAACAGGATGGCGCCAGGATTTTCCCGATGACAGGCAGGGTGTGGGTCGATGTCCAGAATAGGGGTTGGGGAGACGTCCCAGAAGAGAGCGAAGTGGGCGCGGTTGGGTGTGTCCCTCAAACTCTTTTGGAAATGATCCCCGAAAAAGGGGTTGCAAACGCTAATTTAATCAATTTTAGAGCCCAATAATA